AGATTTTTCTTCCATGGGTCCGCAGATGTCGAAGTGGAGCATCTCGAAGGTGTTGTAGGTGCGCTTGTCACGGTTGCTCGGGAATGGTTTTTGGACCATCTTCCCTTCTTGGCATCCTCGACACACACTTGATCCATTCGGCTTGGAAGGGATGTGAGCGTCCTTGATCATGTGGCTTGTCACCATCCTGCGAAGCACGTCGACTGGAGCATGGCCCATTCGCGCATGTAGATCAACAGCGTTGCTGAGTGATGTCGCATTGGCCGATCGCTGCGTCGTGCGAAGCCAGTAGAGTCCGTCTACAAGATCCGCAGCTGCCACCACTTGATTGGAATCCTTGCGAGCGACGTACATCGTATCCCCGTCAAACACCACTTGGAAGTTGCCGTGCTTGTTAATCTGCGGCACCGAGAGCAGATTTTTGCTCATGCTGGGCACATAGAGCGCGTTCTTGATCTCGATCTCGCGCTCTTCCCCGTTTGGCAGAATCACCTTTTCCACGATGGTCCCCACACCTTTGATGGCCGCCTTGTTGCCATCAGCCACCAGGATCTCGCCATCATTGCCTTCGACCAAGCTTGCAAACTTGAACTTGTCGTGGCAGATGTGATGTGTTGCCCCGCTGTCAACGGCCCACATTCCTGGTCCATTCTTGTTCGTTGAAACTCCGCATTCGAACGAAACTGCAAGCGCCACTCGATCGTAGCTGTTGCCTTCATCATAATGTCGCCACTGGACATTGTTTGCCCCGCGTCCACGACCATTGCCGCCGCGTTGGGCTCCTCGACTTTCATCCTTTTGCTTCGTCCAGCAACGCTCTGCCGTGTGCCCCACCTTGCCGCAGTATGTGCATTGGTAGGGCTTGCGCTCGGTACTGAATGCCTTTGTCGCATCTTCAGTCTTCACCGTTGTCGTTGCCGTTGTCATCTTCTCGCCTTGTCGCTTGATGTGCTCGTTAGTCAGCACCTTGACCGCATCTTGCGTGCGCAGCTCTGCATTGCTCATCTCCAAGTTCAGAACCACGTTCTCGAAACTCTTCGGGAGACTGAGCAGCAAGCAGATCGCAATGTCTTCGTCTTCCATCTTGGCACCGATGCTGCTGAGCTTGGCGCCGATGTTCAAGACTTCGTTGCAATGGTGCAAGACGTTGGCACCTTCCGCCATCTTGATGCTGAACAGCTGGCGCTTGAGGTAGATGCGTCCCGCCTTCTGCGACCCACCATAGAGCATCTTCAACCGCGACCACGCTGTCCATGCTTCTTCACAGTTGTCGACCACATGGTGGTAGTCGGCGTCCATGTGGAGCAACATCAACCCGAACGCGATGTTGCTCGCCTTGACGTACTCGTCGGAAGCTCGCGTGTCGGTGAAGGTTGGAGACGTTTCGCGGTTCACGACGTACCAGACTGACTTCGTCAGAAACACGCCGCGCATGTAGCGACACCAGGTTGAGTAGTTGTCCCCATCGAACTTATCGATGGAGACACTGGCCGAGGTGTTGTTGGACGACATGGCGCTTGGGCTCATAACCTGTTGTAACTTGAGCGCGAGGCGAAGAGAAAACGAAGCGGAGAGACCGGAGAGAACGAAGCAGAGAACACTTGCTCACTTGAGGGAGGATTCGAAAGTGATTGATTTATAGGTCTTAACTTCTGCCTACCCTAGACTGCATCCAATCACATGGTGCATCTAATCAACCTGATTTACACGCGTCCAATCATCCTACGCGTCTAATCATCTCTGAGGTAATTACCGATGTAAAAACTATCTCGTAAGAACTACGCGCTAGGTTCGGATTGTACCGGTAACCCTCAATAAACTCGTCGAAGGTCTCGTTCCAAACACGCGAGGCTTGCTTGAGACCGTAGATCGCCTTGATCAGCTCGAGACAGTCGAAATCACCTTCCATCTTGACGCCTTCCGGAACAGCGCAGAACACCTTCTCCTTCATCACTCCATACAGGAACGCAGTCACCACATCGAGCTGGTCGAGGGGCCATCCAAAGTGCTTGGTAATGGCGATGACCATTCGCAGCGTCACATACTTGACCACGGGCGAGAACGTCTCCGTGTAGTCGATGCCATACTTTTGGCGAAAACCCTTGGCCACAAGTCGTGCCTTGTATTTCTCGATCGACCCATCCGCCTTGCGCTTGATCTTGAAGACCCACTTTGTGCCAATGGCGCTTTGTCCGTTGGGTAACTTGGCCGCACGAAAGACACCGCGAAGCTTCATCGAATCGAGCTCCGCATCAATTGCCTTGCGCCAGTGTACTTGGTCCGGGCCAGACACTGCTTCTTCAAATGTCGACGGCTCCGAAAAATCGACCGCTGCTTCGACGGCGTTTGCACTCGCATGCCAAAACGCGGAGGAAGTCGGTGTGTCATGTTGTTCCTCCGACTTCCTTTCTTCATCTTCGTTGGCTCGACGTGAAGAGAGGTCATCCGGCGCACTTGACTCTTCCAATCCGGGTCGTTGGCGCACTGCTCGGGGCATGCTTGCGTCGTCATTGTCGTGACTGGGTTGGGCCTTGCGCTTTCCTGTTTGTTTGAAGTGTCTCGGACGCGGTTCTTCATCATCAAGATCGATCGATTCGAAGTCCAGGCCATCAACATCGTCATCGGAAATCAGCATCGACATTCCAAAGGCCGACTCATCGAAGTTGACATCGCGACTTATCATCACCTGCCCCGCTTCGATGTCGTAAACTCGATACGCCTTGGACACTTCTTCGTAGCCCAAAAACAATCCAGCCCGGGCCTTGGGATCCCACTTGAGTCGTTTCTCCTTCGGGGTCAAGATGTATGCTTGGCACCCAAAAACGCGCATGTGCTTGACACTTGGCTTAGAATTGTAGACAATCTCGAACGGTGTCTTGTGTGGAATCTTGGGTGACGGCAAACGGTTCTTCACATAGACGGCCGTCATTGCCGCTTCAGCCCAGAAGCACTTGTCCAACTTGGCATGATGGAGCATGCTACGACCGATGGTGACGATAGTTCGAATCGCGCGTTCAGCAGTTCCATTGGCTTGATGTGCGTATGGCACCGTGGTTTGTTGCTCGATGCCTTCGACTTCGTAGAAATCTTGAAGCGAGTTCGTCGCAAACTCGCGGGCTCCATCGTGTCGCACAAATTTGACCTTCTTGTTGAACTGCGTCTGTATCATCGTGATGTACTTCTTGATGCACTCTTCGCTCTCTGACTTGGAATGCAGACAAAAACCCTTCATGCATCCGCTGGCTTCATCCACGATCAGCAGCAGATACTTGCTGCCACCCAGAGATTTTTCTTCCATGGGTCCGCAGATGTCGAAGTGGAGCATCTCGAAGGTGTTGTAGGTGCGCTTGTCACGGTTGCTCGGGAATGGTTTTTGGACCATCTTCCCTTCTTGGCATCCTCGACACACACTTGATCCATTCGGCTTGGAAGGGATGTGAGCGTCCTTGATCATGTGGCTTGTCACCATCCTGCGAAGCACGTCGACTGGAGCATGGCCCATTCGCGCATGTAGATCAACAGCGTTGCTGAGTGATGTCGCATTGGCCGATCGCTGCGTCGTGCGAAGCCAGTAGAGTCCGTCTACAAGATCCGCAGCTGCCACCACTTGATTGGAATCCTTGCGAGCGACGTACATCGTATCCCCGTCAAACACCACTTGGAAGTTGCCGTGCTTGTTAATCTGCGGCACCGAGAGCAGATTTTTGCTCATGCTGGGCACATAGAGCGCGTTCTTGATCTCGATCTCGCGCTCTTCCCCGTTTGGCAGAATCACCTTTTCCACGATGGTCCCCACACCTTTGATGGCCGCCTTGTTGCCATCAGCCACCAGGATCTCGCCATCATTGCCTTCGACCAAGCTTGCAAACTTGAACTTGTCGTGGCAGATGTGATGTGTTGCCCCGCTGTCAACGGCCCACATTCCTGGTCCATTCTTGTTCGTTGAAACTCCGCATTCGAACGAAACTGCAAGCGCCACTCGATCGTAGCTGTTGCCTTCATCATAATGTCGCCACTGGACATTGTTTGCCCCGCGTCCACGACCATTGCCGCCGCGTTGGGCTCCTCGACTTTCATCCTTTTGCTTCGTCCAGCAACGCTCTGCCGTGTGCCCCACCTTGCCGCAGTATGTGCATTGGTAGGGCTTGCGCTCGGTACTGAATGCCTTTGTCGCATCTTCAGTCTTCACCGTTGTCGTTGCCGTTGTCATCTTCTCGCCTTGTCGCTTGATGTGCTCGTTAGTCAGCACCTTGACCGCATCTTGCGTGCGCAGCTCTGCATTGCTCATCTCCAAGTTCAGAACCACGTTCTCGAAACTCTTCGGGAGACTGAGCAGCAAGCAGATCGCAATGTCTTCGTCTTCCATCTTGGCACCGATGCTGCTGAGCTTGGCGCCGATGTTCAAGACTTCGTTGCAATGGTGCAAGACGTTGGCACCTTCCGCCATCTTGATGCTGAACAGCTGGCGCTTGAGGTAGATGCGTCCCGCCTTCTGCGACCCACCATAGAGCATCTTCAACCGCGACCACGCTGTCCATGCTTCTTCACAGTTGTCGACCACATGGTGGTAGTCGGCGTCCATGTGGAGCAACATCAACCCGAACGCGATGTTGCTCGCCTTGACGTACTCGTCGGAAGCTCGCGTGTCGGTGAAGGTTGGAGACGTTTCGCGGTTCACGACGTACCAGACTGACTTCGTCAGAAACACGCCGCGCATGTAGCGACACCAGGTTGAGTAGTTGTCCCCATCGAACTTATCGATGGAGACACTGGCCGAGGTGTTGTTGGACGACATGGCGCTTGGGCTCATAACCTGTTGTAACTTGAGCGCGAGGCGAAGAGAAAACGAAGCGGAGAGACCGGAGAGAACGAAGCAGAGAACACTTGCTCACTTGAGGGAGGATTCGAAAGTGATTGATTTATAGGTCTTAACTTCTGCCTACCCTAGACTGCATCCAATCACATGGTGCATCTAATCAACCTGATTTACACGCGTCCAATCATCCTACGCGTCTAATCATCTCTGAGGTAATTACCGATGTAAAAACTATCTCGTAAGAACTACGCGCTAGGTTCGGATTGTACCGGTAACCCTCAATAATCTCGTCGAAGGTCTCGTTCCAAACACGCGAGGCTTGCTTGAGACCGTAGATCGCCTTGATCAGCTCGAGACAGTCGAAATCATCTTCCATCTTGACGCCTTCCGGAACAGCGCAGAACACCTTCTCCTTCATCACTCCATACAGGAACGCAGTCACCACATCGAGCTGGTCGAGGGGCCATCCAAAGTGCTTGGTAATGGCGATGACCATTCGCAGCGTCACATACTTGACCACGGGCGAGAACGTCTCCGTGTAGTCGATGCCATACTTTTTGGCGAAAACCCTTGGCCACAAGTCGTGCCTTGTATTTCTCGATCGACCCATCCGCCTTGCGCTTGATCTTGAAGACCCACTTTGTGCCAATGGCGCTTTGTCCGTTGGGTAACTTGGCCGCACGAAAGACACCGCGAAGCTTCATCGAATCGAGCTCCGCATCAATTGCCTTGCGCCAGTGTACTTGGTCCGGGCCAGACACTGCTTCTTCAAATGTCGACGGCTCCGAAAAATCGACCGCTGCTTCGACGGCGTTTGCACTCGCATGCCAAAACGCGGAGGAAGTCGGTGTGTCATGTTGTTCCTCCGACTTCCTTTCTTCATCTTCGTTGGCTCGACGTGAAGAGAGGTCATCCGGCGCACTTGACTCTTCCAATCCGGGTCGTTGGCGCACTGCTCGGGGCATGCTTGCGTCGTCATTGTCGTGACTGGGTTGGGCCTTGCGCTTTCCTGTTTGTTTGAAGTGTCTCGGACGCGGTTCTTCATCATCAAGATCGATCGATTCGAAGTCCAGGCCATCAACATCGTCATCGGAAATCAGCATCGACATTCCAAAGGCCGACTCATCGAAGTTGACATCGCGACTTATCATCACCTGCCCCGCTTCGATGTCGTAAACTCGATACGCCTTGGACACTTCTTCGTAGCCCAAAAACAATCCAGCCCGGGCCTTGGGATCCCACTTGAGTCGTTTCTCCTTCGGGGTCAAGATGTATGCTTGGCACCCAAAAAGCGCATGTGCTTGACACTTGGCTTAGAATTGTAGACAATCTCGAACGGTGTCTTGTGTGGAATCTTGGGTGACGGCAAACGGTTCTTCACATAGACGGCCGTCATTGCCGCTTCAGCCCAGAAGCACTTGTCCAACTTGGCATGATGGAGCATGCTACGACCGATGGTGACGATAGTTCGAATCGCGCGTTCAGCAGTTCCATTGGCTTGATGTGCGTATGGCACCGTGGTTTGTTGCTCGATGCCTTCGACTTCGTAGAAATCTTGAAGCGAGTTCGTCGCAAACTCGCGGGCTCCATCGTGTCGCACAAATTTGACCTTCTTGTTGAACTGCGTCTGTATCATCGTGATGTACTTCTTGATGCACTCTTCGCTCTCTGACTTGGAATGCAGACAAAAACCCTTCATGCATCCGCTGGCTTCATCCACGATCAGCAGCAGATACTTGCTGCCACCCAGAGATTTTTCTTCCATGGGTCCGCAGATGTCGAAGTGGAGCATCTCGAAGGTGTTGTAGGTGCGCTTGTCACGGTTGCTCGGGAATGGTTTTTGGACCATCTTCCCTTCTTGGCATCCTCGACACACACTTGATCCATTCGGCTTGGAAGGGATGTGAGCGTCCTTGATCATGTGGCTTGTCACCATCCTGCGAAGCACGTCGACTGGAGCATGGCCCATTCGCGCATGTAGATCAACAGCGTTGCTGAGTGATGTCGCATTGGCCGATCGCTGCGTCGTGCGAAGCCAGTAGAGTCCGTCTACAAGATCCGCAGCTGCCACCACTTGATTGGAATCCTTGCGAGCGACGTACATCGTATCCCCGTCAAACACCACTTGGAAGTTGCCGTGCTTGTTAATCTGCGGCACCGAGAGCAGATTTTTGCTCATGCTGGGCACATAGAGCGCGTTCTTGATCTCGATCTCGCGCTCTTCCCCGTTTGGCAGAATCACCTTTTCCACGATGGTCCCCACACCTTTGATGGCCGCCTTGTTGCCATCAGCCACCAGGATCTCGCCATCATTGCCTTCGACCAAGCTTGCAAACTTGAACTTGTCGTGGCAGATGTGATGTGTTGCCCCGCTGTCAACGGCCCACATTCCTGGTCCATTCTTGTTCGTTGAAACTCCGCATTCGAACGAAACTGCAAGCGCCACTCGATCGTAGCTGTTGCCTTCATCATAATGTCGCCACTGGACATTGTTTGCCCCGCGTCCACGACCATTGCCGCCGCGTTGGGCTCCTCGACTTTCATCCTTTTGCTTCGTCCAGCAACGCTCTGCCGTGTGCCCCACCTTGCCGCAGTATGTGCATTGGTAGGGCTTGCGCTCGGTACTGAATGCCTTTGTCGCATCTTCAGTCTTCACCGTTGTCGTTGCCGTTGTCATCTTCTCGCCTTGTCGCTTGATGTGATCGTTAGTCAGCACCTTGACCACATCTTGCGTGCGCAGCTCTGCATTGCTCATCTCCAAGTTCAGAACCACGTTCTCGAAACTCTTCGGGAGACTGAGCAGCAAGCAGATCGCAATGTCTTCGTCTTCCATCTTGGCACCGATGCTGCTGAGCTTGGCGCCGATGTTCAAGACTTCGTTGCAATGGTGCAAGACGTTGGCACCTTCCGCCATCTTGATGCTGAACAGCTGGCGCTTGAGGTAGATGCGTCCCGCCTTCTGCGACCCACCATAGAGCATCTTCAACCGCGACCACGCTGTCCATGCTTCTTCACAGTTGTCGACCACATGGTGGTAGTCGGCGTCCATGTGGAGCAACATCAACCCGAACGCGATGTTGCTCGCCTTGACGTACTCGTCGGAAGCTCGCGTGTCGGTGAAGGTTGGAGACGTTTCGCGGTTCACGACGTACCAGACTGACTTCGTCAGAAACACGCCGCGCATGTAGCGACACCAGGTTGAGTAGTTGTCCCCATCGAACTTATCGATGGAGACACTGGCCGAGGTGTTGTTGGACGACATGGCGCTTGGGCTCATAACCTGTTGTAACTTGAGCGCGAGGCGAAGAGAAAACGAAGCGGAGAGACCGGAGAGAACGAAGCAGAGAACACTTGCTCACTTGAGGGAGGATTCGAAAGTGATTGATTTATAGGTCTTAACTTCTGCCTAACCTAGACTGCATCCAATCACATGGTGCATCTAATCAACCTGATTTACACGCGTCCAATCATCCTACGCGTCTAATCATCTCTGAGGTAATTACCGATGTAAAAACTATCTCGTAAGAACTACGCGCTAGGTTCGGATTGTACCGGTAACCCTCAATAGTCTGTCATCTCGAAACGTGTCTTCAGGTCGTTCTTGGTTCGTGTAATTAGCTCGAGCGAGCTTTCAGTCACCAAGACGTCGTCCACGTAGACCAGTACAAATACACAATGGCCGAACGAAGTCTTGATCTTGAGACATGGGTAGAACTCCGATACTTGAATTCCAATGGAGCACACAAAATCGTCGAACGTCTCGTTCCACATTCGCGACGCTTGCTTGAGGCCACAATTGATTTAATCAATTCCAGGCAATCGAACGTACTATCAAGTTCAACGCTTTCAGGAATCACGCAGAACACTTGTTCCTTCATGACGACATGCAGGAAAGCCGTCATCACATCAAGCTGGTCGATGGGCCATCCAAAGGGCTTGGAAATTGCGATGACCATTCGCAGCGTCACATACTTGACCACGGGCGAAAATGTCTCCGTGTAGTCGATGCCATACTTTTGGCGGAAACCCTTGGCCACAAGTCGTGCCTTGTACTTCTCGATCTACCCAACCGCCTTGCGCTTGATCTTAAACACTCACTTTGTGCCAATGGCGCATTGTTCGTTGGGCAGATTGGCTGCACGAAACACACTGCGAAGGCGCATTGACTCGAGTCCCGCATAAATGGCATTTGCCAGTGCACTTGGTCAGGACCGCTCACTGCCACCTCAAATGTGTAGGGCTCCGATAAGTCTGCTTCTGTTTCAACGACATTCGCACTCGCATGCCAAAACACAGGCGGAGTTGATTCATCAGAATCCTTCCTTTCTTCGTCTTCTTCTTGGCGTGACGAGTTGTTTTCCGGCGCGGTTGAATCTTCTAGTCCAGGTCGTTGACGCACTGCACGTGGCCGTGGAGCTGCTGTATCTTCATCACTGGGGCGGTTTTTGCGCTTGCCTGTTTGCTTGTACTCCACCTGACGCGGCTCTTCATCATTGAGGTCAAGCAACTCGAAGTCCAGGTCATCGGCATCTTCATCAGTGATCGGCGGCGGAAGTCCAAAGGTGGACTTATTGAGGGTTACCGGTACAATCCGAACCTAGCGCGTAGTTCTTACGAGATAGTTTTTACATCGGTAATTACCTCAGAGATGATTAGACGCGTAGGATGATTGGACGCGTGTAAATCAGGTTGATTAGATGCACCATGTGATTGGATGCAGTCTAGGTTAGGCAGAAGTTAAGACCTATAAATCAATCACTTTCGAATCCTCCCTCAAGTGAGCAAGTGTTCTCTGCTTCGTTCTCTCCGGTCTCTCCGCTTCGTTTTCTCTTCGCCTCGCGCTCAAGTTACAACAGGTTATGAGCCCAAGCGCCATGTCGTCCAACAACACCTCGGCCAGTGTCTCCATCGATAAGTTCGATGGGGACAACTACTCAACCTGGTGTCGCTACATGCGCGGCGTGTTTCTGACGAAGTCAGTCTGGTACGTCGTGAACCGCGAAACGTCTCCAACCTTCACCGACACGCGAGCTTCCGACGAGTACGTCAAGGCGAGCAACATCGCGTTCGGGTTGATGTTGCTCCACATGGACGCCGACTACCACCATGTGGTCGACAACTGTGAAGAAGCATGGACAGCGTGGTCGCGGTTGAAGATGCTCTATGGTGGGTCGCAGAAGGCGGGACGCATCTACCTCAAGCGCCAGCTGTTCAGCATCAAGATGACGGAAGGTGCCAACGTCTTGCACCATTGCAACGAAGTCTTGAACATCGGCGCCAAGCTCAGCAGCATCGGTGCCAAGATGGAAGACGAAGACGTTGCGATCTGCTTACTGCGCAGTCTGCCCAATAGTTTCGAGAACGTGGTTCTCAACTTGGAGATGAGCAATGCAGAGCTGCGCACGCAAGATGTGGTCAAGGTGCTGACTAACGAGCACATCAAGCGACAAGGCGAGAAGATGACAACGGCAACGACAACGGTGAAGACTGAAGATGCGACAAAGGCATTCAGTACCGAGCGCAAGCCCTACCAATGCACATACTGCGGCAAGGTGGGGCACACGGCAGAGCGTTGCTGGACGAAGCAAAAGGATGAAAGTCGAGGAGCCCAACGCGGCGGCAATGGTCGTCGACGCGGGTCAAACAATGTCCACTGGCGACATTATGATGAAGGCAACAGCTACGATCGAGTGGCGTTTGCAGTTTCGTTCGAATGCGGAGTTTCGACGAACAAGAATGGACCAGGAATGTGGGCCGTTGACAGCGGGGCAACACATCACATCTGCCACGACAAGTTCAAGTTTGCAAGCTTGGTCGAAGGCAATGATGGCGAGATCCTGGTGGCTGATGGCAACAAGGCGGCCATCAAAGGTGTGGGGACCATCGTGGAAAAGGTGATTCTGCCAAACGGGGAAGAGCGCGAGATCGAGATCAAGAACGCGCTCTATGTGCCCAGCATGAGCAAAAATCTGCTCGCGGTGCCCCAGATTAACAAGCACGGCAACTTCCAAGTGGTGTTTGACGGGGATACGATGTACGTCGCTCGCAAGGATTCCAATCAAGTGGTGGCAGCTGCGGATCTTGTAGACGGACTCTACTGGCTTCGCAC